ATATATATATAAGCTAACAACGAGAGGCTGAATCAGTCTTTACTTATAGAGCAACATCTGACTCCGTCAACCTTCTAATTTTCATTCCGGCAACATAATTCAATTTTGTGAATCATATCTCCATTTTCGATTGAATTATTACATATTCATTGCAAATAAACTTTAACATAGATAATTTGCTTACCGAAAAAATCCGGTCCATCCTTTCTCGACAAGAATTGGTGCCCGAGCTAAGGTGAGATGACTCCTAATATCATTCAAAAAGCTTAACGAGCGAAACAATGATTAGAGAAACTCCTCGAAAAAATCAAAACAATGGATTTAAGGTCTTCAGAACAAAATTCGTCAATGGAGTAAAAACGAAACAATTTGAGGACAATAGAAGAATCATTGAAGAAAACATAATGCACCTCAAATTGTGCATTAATATTTTTGAAGAAATGGATGGAATAGTCCAGAAGCAGAGTACTTTGCAGAAAAAGAAAAGAAGAAAAGGAAAAATACGCCAAAATCATGAGAGGAGGAAAATATGTTTTTAATTTATTGCATGGAGTTGCAGTAAATTATAATCATTTTTTTTTTGCAGTAAATAAATTATAATCATCTAATTATAATCATTTTTTGCTTTTTTTTATTCCCTCCATTTGCATAATCAGTACTCATTGATAAGGGTTCATAGTTCAACCTAGAGCAGTGTATTTTTCTCATAGATGCCGAAAAAATCAAGAAAATATATGTGTTGAAACAATCAAAGTATTAGAGATTTCTACATAAAAGTTGTTTAGAATATTCTCCATATAAAGGATTCGTCACGCAAAAAATAAAATAAGTGTTTTTCTACAATTAAAGTGATGAGTCATTTACCTAATCTTCGGATCATGCGATGATATTCTAACAACGAATCCATGGGGAGAACGTTGTACACATCCTGTAAATTGATTCACATGTAAATACTTCTTGTCTGAGAATTAATCTTGTAAGGAATGTATCAAGTTTTGTAAACCATCCCCACTATACAAATGGTTTCCATTAGCCTATCCAGGACTTAAACTTCATTCGATGTTCTACAAATCTCCCTAAATTAAGCTTCATTAGGTGTTCTACATGTCTTCCTATTTTAAACTCTAATTGAAGTACTTAACACGCTAAATTTCCTCTTTACATCAACAAGAAACTCAACCATAACTGTATTTTCTACATTCATTAATAATTCAAGAATAATAAATCTATTACCATCATCAATAAACCATTTTGAAACTCCTTACACCTGCATTAAGCCACAAAAAGGAGCTTCATCGTCAATCTCCTCTAATACAAAGGCAAAATTTTTACGACAGTAGCTGCAGAATCATCCACAAATATTTTTTCAGCTCAGAATAAATAGTATATTAAATTTTCCTAACCGGATTAGGGTGGAATTTGTATTGCTTGACGTTGGATGAAAATTCTTGCAAGTATGTTCCAGCAAATTGTCATTTCTATAACTCAGGATTTTCACAACTCCTTCGAAAGATATCGGCTAAAATTGAAGATTTCATTTAAACTTTTGATATTTGAGCTTACCTTTCTGTGTATAGAACTTCTCTATTGTATAATTCCAGGGCTGTCTCATAAATGTAACCAAGGACGTGATCTTTTCATAGCTTCAGCTCTAGACTGAACGCTAAACATATTGCAGTTATAATTTTCCGATGAGATAGATTTTGAAGAAAATTCAGTATTTGAAATCTTGGATTGCTGTACCACTTGTTTTCGTTCCATAAATACAATCTTCTACTGCAGTACTTTCTCCTTCCTGAGTTTTGAATCCGGAAAGCAACAATTACCAACGCTTGAAAGTATTTTGCTTTCTTAAGTTGAAACAGAATTGTGGATCTGTACAATTAGTTGATCTCTCAAACAATTCCGCAGATATCCAGCAATAAGATCATTCAAATCTAACTGTTCGCCTCCAAAATTCAGTCAGTGTAGTATTGATTTTATTATTACAACATTCCCATTAAAAAAAAAATCTTGATTTTTTAAAAAATTACAACTCAGGTTTAGTCAGCATTTAACTGAAAGGTTTTAGTTCTTGTTAAGGGCCATTTTGTCATTTTTTTTTTGCAATGAATATGGCTCCGACTTTCTCGACAATCTACACGACTACTTTGTTTGCTCGGAAACTTCCTGAAAATTTGAAGATTCGTATCTGGTGCAAAAAATAAACACGAAAAAAAATGGATTAGCTTAGTGTTATTTTCGCTAATCAGGAGGAAAATACTCGGGGTTCAAAGGTAAGGCTGAGACAACACAACATTCCCAAACAAATTAGAATGACTTTGTTGTATAAAAATACCGCCTGCTTGTTCAAAATCATGAAACTTTTATAAGTGCTTTGGGAGCTGAAAACTTTACCCCTTAATAACTTCAGCTATAAACAAACACTTCAAACCATTCTAAATGCCGGATATTCGAAGCACTAGGCTAATAATAATTTCGGAACTTCATAACATTTTTTGTTCAAATTTATTGCACAAGGCAATATCACACATTTATTGAAATTATCTATTTGTTTAGCTAACATTCGCGATGGAATTGATATTTCAATTTTTTTCAGTGTATAATAGATTGCATTTTACAAAACACGTCAAAAAATTACAAGAAGAAAATACTGAGAAGTTTCTTGTTCTTCTTCGCTTGAACGGTAGCAACGCAAAGAACTGGAATGTACGATGGACATATCATAAAAAGTTGCAAAGGCAAGAAGCACTCTAAAATTAGTCGTAAAAAGTAATTACAAAGTTATACGAATTCCAGCACCTCATCAGCTTTCTTGGTGAAGTCTATAACCATCCCTACAAGTGTGGAAAACCTTCCACAATCCTGAAACATAAAACATGGGAAGCAAGTTGACTAACAAATTCAAATGTGTCATTCATCATTAAAGATGATCTATCTGCTCTGTTTCTTATCACCTTATTTTCCACGGCATGTCTTTACATGTTATAATATTTAGCAATTACAATAGTGGACAAATTCTTTGAATTTTTAGCTTTTCTTCAGATTTCGTTGGAATCTTCTAGAAAAAAGAGCTAAAGGGAAATATACTCGAAGAAAATGAACAGATTCGTATGGAATAAGCTTCAAATACTTTCAAAAACCAGTCAAAAATCAGTAAATATACTGTACGAATGATAGCTGCATTATTTAATTATAGAAACTTAGTGCACTTATGAAGAGTTCAATATGATATTTCAAACAATGTCAATGTTCGAAAAAGGCTCCTAGCAATACTGTTGGCAAACAAATGACATCATGCGTGCAAAATGCGAAATATGGTTCAGAATTAGTGTAGCATTTCGCCATAATTTTTACAGTTCATGTACAATTTAGTTCTATGGATAACCGGTTGACGGTTGATAATGTGTCTGCGTATATAAAGGATATGGTGGTTGTTGTTGCTGTTGGTGATGCTGGCGGTGGTGAAGTTGTGGCTTTGTAATCGTAAATTTCACATCATACGACTGCTGTGATGATGACGACGGCGTGATAGCGATACCCGTTGAACTGATTCCCGTAATTATTTCACTCTGTAAGATTTAAATTTCCCTCTCATGTTAAATATGTGTTTTCTTTTTTTTTTTG